GAAGAAGAAGAAGAAGAAGAAGAAGAAGAAGAAGAAGAAGAAGAAGAAGAAGAAGAAGAAGAAGAAGAAGAAGAAGGTGGCCAGTGTGAGCTTTATAAATTTTATTCAACATTAATAATGTGTCTGCCTACCACACATAACAGGACATCCAGGATTTTCAAAATTTTTCCAGCCTGTTTTCTTTGAATTTTACATTTTAGAACTGGGTGACAAGGGCCCAAAAACACAAATTACCAAAAACTCAGGAACACTAAAAGACCTTTTTTTTTCTTTGTCTTTTTGAGACAGGATCTTTCTTTCTATGCAGTTCAGGCTAGCTTTGAGCTCACTTTGTAGCCCAGGCTGGTCTCAAACCTGCAACAATCATCCTGCCTCAGCCTCCTGAGTGCTGGGATTACAGGCATATAATGCTACACCTGAGTGACATTTTCTATTTAAACATTTCCTAGGAAAATAAATAGTAATGCATAATTTGAAGATTATAGGAGAATTCAATTTAAAAAAATAAATTATAAGGGAACATGTATATTTGATATTGTAATTATTTTGTTAAACTTAAAAACTCTATGAACATTGAACACTGCCTCCGCTACCCACAGATCTTCCCAAAATCAGAATCTCTTTTTGCTATGATGTTTCTTGTATCTGTTACTGCAGTTAATTTAGTCTAGCCTATTTTTTCTTAAGAACCTTGTTATTATGAAAGTAATCTATGTTGGCATAGACTGTTTTTTCTTTTTTGGCAGTGCTGAAGATCAAACCCCAGGGTCTGAAACATGTTAGGTGAAATTTTTTATCACTGAGCAATATCTCCAGCCCTGGATCTATTATTTGTGTGTTGGAAGCTCAATGAAGACAGAGATCGTGGCTTGTCTATGAAACAGTACTGCTGGACATGGTGGCACTTGCCTGTAATTCCAGCACTTGGGAGACTGAGAAGCTGAGCCAGGAGAAACCCTTCAAGTTTGAGGCCAGCCTACACTATGCCTATGCCTGAGTGCTGGAATTACAGGCACGTACCACCATGCCTGACTGGCATTCTCTATTTAAACATTTTCTATAAAAATAAATTAGTAATTAGTATGCTACATAGTGAGTTCAAGGGTAGTCTTAACTACATAGCAAGACTCAAACAGTATTATGACAGTTAAAAGCACAGACCTTGTAGTCAGACACCTAAGTTTGCATCTTGCTTCTGGCACTCCTCAGTTCAAATAAAAAGTAGTTTTCCTGTGGTTGTAAATTAACATTGTTTAGTCTCAAGATCATAGCTGTAAAACTGAGATGAGAACGCCTATGTCAGGGTATTTGTGAACATTAAATGAGAAGATGTATGAATGCATTTAGCCCAGTGCTCAGTGTACACAGGTAACCAATGATAACTGTTACATGTACATCTACCTTATCATTTGATTCCTGCCATATAGCAGGAAGGAAGCACTAGATCTTTGCTGAACAAATCATGCTAAGGACACAAAAGGAAACCATGAAGGGAATCTAAGACAGCACCGCTAACTTATTGTACCTTCATTTTCCTCCGTGAGCTTAAGATTTAGGGCCCAAGGGACTGCTGTAGAGGCTCACCTGAACCTTGTTGGAGGTGGGGTAGGAAGAGTGTGTTAGTGCCAGGCACTCCCTAGAAGTTCTGAGCCTCATGGGAATTCCAATTCAATCTTCAAGTTTTTTGCTCTTCTTGTCCTCTGGTCACAGTGCCTCTGGAGAGTCTTGTGGAGATAAGAACTTTAAGTGACTAACCTGTACCTTAAAGGAGTTTCTGGGAGTTAGGAACCATCCTAGGCACCATCTCCAGCATAGGAAGCACTTCCTGGTTCCTGGTCAAAGAATCTCTCCTGCAACAAGCAACACTTACTGTTCTACTGTAGCTACCAGCTTTGTGCTGCTTTCCCTTGTGGACTGCGAGCAATGTCAGTGAGCAAAGTCTAGGTTTGCTTCCAGTTTAATCAGTAAGATGAGCTACACGTATCCCTATGAAAGACTATCAAGTTGAATTCCACTGAACCAGGTGTCAGAGCTGCAGTCTCGAGCTGAGCCCCAAGCTCTAAAACCCTGAAAACCAAGCTAGCCTGTATTCTTCTTCTGGTATTTGACTCAGCTAGGAAGTCTGCTCCCCTTCATTCCAAAGTACTGATTCCCAGAACTTAACATAATTCTGCTTGCCACAGCCTCTGGGCAATTAGCCTGAAGTACATTGTTGAAGTCTGGGTCGTTTCTACATCCTGGGAATAGATGGGGAGGGGATGTCTTTGTTTAGGGAATTAAGATTTACAAAATATTAGCATCAAAGTTTTTCCCTCTCTATAACCAAAGTTCATTTTTCACACAACACAGCTATTGCCTAGGAGCACAGTAGAAATCCAATACCTGTAGTAGCTGGAAACAATTCAAAAGAATTCAGACTATTAGCAAACAGCTTATTTAAACTTTAGTAGTCATATAAAATTAATAAAGTAATCATTTATTTGTTACAAATATTACTATTCTGGATCATCCAACATGTTAAAATTTTGCAAATATAATAAAACCTTCTTAGTGATCATTACGACAGGGTTTTGAAAGCGCTCAGCTAAAATCTAGGTATTTTCTAGATTTGTTTAGCTGAAATTAGGAGAAACAAGATCTGAAAAAAGTTTACCAACTCAGGTACTTGCTTTTCTCATTTGTCATGGAAAACAGTTACCGTACTGTCATGAGCATCTCTTTTAAAGCTTGGACCTTTCCACAGCCTCATTTCTGCTTGATGAATGCAAAAGTATCTCTCGATTTCATGCGGCTTTTCACAAACCCTGTTAGTTTCCTGAATGCTTCAATCAGTCCGTCGCCTGTGATGGCACAGCAGGGCTGCACGTACCAGTTCCGGTCACTGCAGAGCTTCTTTACTTTAAACATTCTGGTGATGTCCTCAGCTGTCAGCGCTCCAGGCACATCTTGTTTGTTAGCCAATATGACAACAGGCACATTTTTAATATGTTCATTCTGCAAAATATGCTTAAATTCTTTCCGGGAGGTTTCCAGTCGCTGTTGGTCTGTACTATCCACAACGTACACCAGCCCGTCAGTATTCTCACAGTAATAGCTCCAAACGGTTCTCATTTTTTCTTGTCCTCCAACATCCCACACTGTGAGTGAGAAACTGCTTTCCAGCTGGATCATCTCCACATTGAAACCTATTGTCGGAATGGTTGTGACATCCTTGGCAAGCTTTAATTTATAAAGGAGAGTAGACTTCCCAGCAGAGTCAAGTCCCAGAAGAAGAATGTGGGCTTGCTTGGCCTTCAGGGTTTTAGAGCTCAGCAGACCCATTTTAGTCTTTCTGTTCTATGAAGATCTTTGCTTCTGGCTAGAGACAATGTATCCTTTCTGGATCTTGCATGGAAATATTAGGGAAAATAGAAGAAAGCAAATGCGGCATGCTGGAGGACAGCCTGAGCAGGAGCCTGTGTACACTTATATTGTAGCTTATCAACTTGATTATAGGCAAACAATATTTTATTTGCAGTCCCAGCCAATCCTGAGAAATCTGTGATATAACCAGCCAATGTCATAATGGCTCAAAGGGGACATTCTTTGTGAGTGAGTAGGATTAGGAGGGGCCTGTCTGACTGAGGGTGCAACTTTATTTGCTTCTACATGCTAAAACTGGGGAGAAAGTCAAAGCCTCACATCTACCAGGAATACGCCTCACAGCAGAATGAAAACAGGTTTCATTTCAACTTAAGTAGTTTTAGACTTTTTGTAGAAAGTTATTGAATATTTATTTTCTCCCAACTGTAAATAAGTAACCAGGCTGCTTATACTGTAAAGAGAGCTTATCTCCCACTCCCTCTGCAGTATCTTCCGGACTTTCCCTTTGCCCATATTACTCAGTAGGAAACTTGAAACCACCCACGCTTAACTGAACCTTCTTCTCACAATCAGAGCATCACTTTTTGAATCACCTAAGCCGAGCATTTATTCACAGAATCAAATTTGTAGGGGAAAATTTAAAGCAGAAACTTGTGAATTATGCAGGCAGCCTGAAGAAAGACAACAATAGCTGAGTTGTGCGAAAAATGAACTTTGATTATAGAGAGGGGAATTTTTAAAAGGAGCAGGAGTAGAATTTCTTTTCTGTAAAAGGAATGAAACTATTTTTTTCTCAATGTTGATTTTCATGAAAGTCTACAAATTATTCAGCATCACCAGGACTTTACCAAATGATGGCAAAGGAATAGAGAGAGCATGTAAGCCCATAGCAAGAAAAGCAAGAGTCAAACAGAGGATGAGAGACTGCAACAAAATTCTGGAAAATGGAAATAGATGGGTCATACCTAATGTAGGATAAAGCTGAGACTTGGGTAAAGTGGACACACTGGAGATAGACAAGAGGTGCAACAGTGGGTGAGAGAAGGGGTGCAAGTGCTAAAAACAGAAGGGAAAACTGTCTCAATAAGGAACAGGAAGTACCTATACACATAATATACCTACCTGCTGAGTGCCCACCCAGGCAAAAAACTGAAGAGATATATGCTTATTTGTTTGTGCTTATGTTTTTGCAGTACTGGGAGTTGATCTCAGTGCCTACACACTGAGCTGCATCCCCAGCTTTTGTTAAGTTTGTGAAGAAAGTGTCTCACTATTCAGGCTGGCATTGAGCTCACTTTGTAGCCCAGGCTGGCCTTGAATTCACAGTGATCTTCCTGCTTCAGCCTCCCAAATGCTGGAATTACAAGTGCATACCACCATGCCTGACTTTTTTTTTTTTTCTTTTGAAGCTGGCTAACTCCCTAAAATCAAGAGGTTTGGCACAAATTTACAGTCTTCCTGCTTCTGCCTCCCAGAGTGCTGGGATAACAGACATGTGCCACTGCCATGCCCAGCTAAGAATTCTTTTCTAAAAAAATTAATTTTAGAAAAATAACTGTTTTGACAGGTTTGAGTTTCGACAGCATAATGTATAAATCAGCACTGAATTACCCAAAGCCAACCTAGCAAGTGGCAAATGTCTTATGCAGAGCTCTAATACTATTTTCTAATGCACAAAGGTTGTATTTTAAGTCATAACCTGCTGAGAGAGACAGAGAAAGAGAGAGAGAGAGAGAGAGACAGACAGACAGACAGACAGACAGACAGACAGACAAGACAAAAGTCAGAACTCTTCAGCAAAGCTTAAACAAAGGTGGTGTGCCAGAAAAAGCAACATTTTCATTAAATTCTAATTAAAATTTACACTAAACACTGTCATTAAGTTTTTATAGAGATTTGAGAAGATATTATATCCATAAAACAAGAAACAGGATGCTATTTAAAAGACCACCGAGAAAACAAAAACCTGACCTTGAAAACTAAAACCACAAAATTTTAAATGTTTTAAAAATCTATGTTAGGTTGGAAGACAATATTGAAGGAATTCTTCAGAAAGTAGAAGATACAAAATACGAGAGAAAAGTTAAGAGATATAAAGAATCAACTCAGAAGTCTCAATATCTGAATTGTAAAAGGCTTCCTTTAATGCTTAACTATTTTAAGAAGAGCTGTCAAGGAATATTATGTATGTTGTATTTTTATTAAAAGTATTTATTTTGGGTACTGAGGATTGAACTGAGTTGGCTTTTCTATCACTGAGCTTCATCCTCAATCTTCTTTATATTTTGTTTTGAGATAGGATTTCACTGAATTGCAACAGGCTAGCCTTGAACTTGTAATTCTCCTACCTCAGCCTTCTTGATAGAATTATAGGTGTGTCTCACTATGCTCAACTAAATTTTTTTTTTAAGTAAGTAGACTATTTGGAGTGCTGAAAATGCACTTATGATAAATTATGTAAACTTCTAAAAATTAAATTCTTTGTATCCTTTGTAAGTTTTTGTTAGCAGACGTTTGTGTACATAAAGATTGCATGCATTCATCATGGGGAGTTGGTACATGTATGTAACCCATACTAATTATTTTTATCTCCTTTCCATTTCTTCCTCCCTCCATCTTAAATTCTTAACCAATTCACTGTATCTCAGAAACCAGAAGTACCATTCATTCATGCATCCACCTGTGCGTCAAATATATGTACAAACCACCATGGGCAGGTTGCCATATCACACACATAAATTAGACCAGCCTTTAGGTGACTTCATTGGCGAATACATAAAATGTATCTACACAAGTAAAAACAATATGAGATATTTTAATTATTCATGCTATGAGAAAAGGCAAACTAAAGTATTTGGTTTTTTGTTTGTTTGTTTGATGGAACCGGGGATTGAACTCAGGCCCTTTCACTTCCAGGCAAGCGCTTATTCTACTGAGCCATCTCCCCAGCCCCAAACTAAAGTATTTGGATATTCATAGATTATTTCAGGATGGAGTACATTAGGAAAATCTAGAAGAAGGTTGAACCATGGATGTAGAGATCCAGTGGGGAAAGGGCATTCGTTAAAGAGATGGTCTGTGTGAGCAGAGTCTCAAACAGGGAAAGACATGGGATGGATACAAAAAAATGATATTTATGTACATGTAGTTTTTTTTATAAACATGTAACTACTGTGAGAAAATAGTGCCATCAGATAATCTAGATGGTAGGATACTGTACAACAGACCCAGACTCTTCAAAATATGTTCATGTCACAAATGACAAGAAAAAATTAAATAGGAGCAAGAGTAGAATTTCTCTTCTATAAAGGGAGTGAAACTATTTTTTTCTCAATGTGGATTTTCATGAGAGACTACAAATTTTTCAACACCCTTTCCTACTGCCCCAAAACATTTATAGATTCACTTGTCCTTGCCAAACCTGAAGGAAGACAAGATGTTTGTTTTCTGTAAATCATTCTAGGATTATGCAAATAAAGGTAGGACTGTGAGAACGTTGCTAGCAGGATCTGTAGTGCCACAGGAAATTTGTTATAAAATACAGGAATGAAAGGAAGAAACGTTTGTCTTACCATGGAGAAGGGAGGTGAAAAGTCCTAAATTGAAGTTCAACTATACACTGTACCAACCAAATGAAAATTCAAAAACTTTCCTCATGAAAGACTTTGTCCATTACCTTTATTTTTCACTAATAAGGAAAAAAATCAGGATGTGGTTATATAACTTGTTCAACTTATGCAGTCTTAGAACATAGACCATCCTGTTTTTTGTTTCATCTTTTTCCAAAAGTAAACTTTTTGAAACATTCATCCAAAAATGTACACATAGAAAAATACAAAACTATAAATGTACAGGTCAAAATATCACAAATTTAAAATATTCATATAACCCCCAAGGCCAAGCTTAATTTTTCATGTCCCATTATTTTGCATGCAAAAATTTCATACCTCAAATTTTATATACCATTTTTGGAAACATACTATGGTCTAGAAAAAGTCACTGTCTGAACTGAGGTACTTTGATGCCATGAAGAAGAGTATGCTGCAGTCTTTGAATTTCTGCCAAAGGCCAGGCCCTCCAGAAGGAATCAACACTTTCACCCACATCCCTCAAAGTAGAGTGCTTTTCTTCTCTCACATGGGTAAACCACTGGGCCTTAATTCAAGTCTGGCTGCTTGTACTCACTAAACATCAAGTAATGATTTTAAAAGGAATGTTGTGGTAATTAAAATAAATGTGGAAAGCATTTATTCACAGAACCTGGCACATGGTTGATACACATTTCTCCTTCCTCTAATCACATTTAAAAATACCTGTAGGGCTGGAGATGTAGTTCAGTGGCAGAACACTTTCCTTATCGTGGGTTCATTTTCAGCACTACAATAATCAATCAATATATTTGTTACTAGTTTTAAAATAACTGTGACTTTAACCCTTTCCAGATAAAAAATAATTTTCCTGTTACCCCAGGCACACGGTATTCACTTGGGAGAATAAATCACTGTGTGTTAGATTCCTTCCCCAATACATCAACATTTTTATCCACACACCACTAAGATTAAAATGAACAGGGAGACAATACAGAAGGGTAGTCTGAAGGCTGCCTGGAACTCGGCGAGCACAGTTGCATCCCTTTGTCCAAGTAAAAATGGGAAATTTATTTAAGGACCGATGACTCAGACAGCTTTGGCCTGGCTCTATGTGAAGCTCTCAGTATCTTCTGAGCGTCTGCCTAGCCAGCAGCAGCAGACCCTAAGGACTGGGCTGTGCAGCCTGACCACACCGTTCATCTAACTGGCTCCCTTTAATGGCAGTGAAAAAATAACAGATGGTTTGTACATGTCTCCATTCCTCATAGCTGCCCATCTCTCATGTAATGCACTATAAATCTGTGATTCTTCATTCAACTTTTATTGAGTATATGCTAAAAGCAGCATTCTGTGTATTCAAAGTGGTTAGGATAGATATATAGTTGCATTCTCTTAATAAATAGAATGATTTGTTCTAATGGTGTTTGTAAATAGGATCTCAAGTCCGCATCTTGTACAGCAATTAACCACTAAGAAGAATGTATGCA